AAAAGGTGGGAGAATGAAGGCTTCACACAGCTTTTTAACCCTGTAAAATGAGTTTCACTTAACTGATTGGCTTTGAAATAATCTGTGTAGGGATATTAGGTCACTACTTTGTGGACCGCTTGGATTTTCCTGAATGAACTGAGTAGCCACATTTGATTGTCTAATTTATCCCATCTATCCTTTTTTTTTTTTTTTTTTATGGTCAGTTAGCCGACGTGTTTCTGATGTCGCGTTCAACGATTCATTAGTGGCGTATAACACCCAGTGCTCCTCACCACATGTGCCCTCCGTAATACCCATCACCCGGTTACCCCATCCCTTCACCCCCTCCCCTTCTGTAACCCTCAGTTTGTTTCCCAGGGTCCAGCATCTCTCATGGTTTCTCTCCCTCTCTGATTTCTTCCCATTCAGTTTTCCCTCCCTTCCCCTGTGGTCCCCCGCTCTATTCCTTATGTTCCACGTATGAGTGAAACCATATGATCATTGTTTTTCTCTGCTTGACTTACTTCACTCAGCACAGTCCCCTCCGGTTCCATTCATGTCGATGCAAATGGTGGGTATTCATCCTTTCTGATGGCTGAGTAGTATTCCATTGTATATATGAACCACATCTTCTTTCCTTTAAAATTTATATTTTTGGCTGTGGATTTGCTCCATGTTAGAAATGGCATTTAGAACTTCTGTTTAAGGCTAGAGGAAAGGTATACCCCACTTTTTCCAAGACATCACTTCAGGTTTAATAAGTAGAAGAGTATAATGGCCAAAAACTATGGTTTTATCTGTGAAACATGACAGCGTCAGCCGTTCAGGCAAATCAGGAATTTTCCTATCTCATCCAAAGTGACCCATTTTTGGAGCAGAATGAGTAAAAACACTGGTTGCTTTGGCTTTTCTTACACTGGCGTCTAGTCCAGATTCTGGGCTCAGAAGTTTCTAATCTGAGGATCATCAGATAATGAGGAGTCATCATTATAATGATCAGTGCCCATGATGGCATTCAGGGCTCTGTGTCTGGAAATGGTACACATTTGGTGGCAACATGTTTGTTATTGTTAAGCATGGCAGGTGATAAGATTACTGGGAAAAAATAATATTCTGGAGTGGTATCATATTGTCAGGAAGAAATGGGTGATTCTAGTAATTGGATTTGCTGAAGTTTATAAATCTTTTCCCATGCATTTCATTCATCTATTAAAAATAGGTGTTATTAATTTTGAAGACTAATTCTAGCCATACTGGTGGATAAAAATCTATCTGCCTTGACTCAGGTTGGCTTTTTTATATGTTTCTTGATTGTGGGAACAATTATGCAGCTTCATTCTCGAAGTGGAATCTTACATCAACTGTCTTGCCTTTGCTATGTTTCCATGAAATGGAAGAATGAGAAATTATGTATAACCCGAATGACACATACAGAATATATACTGTAAGGGAGATACCTCAAAGCAAAGGATCTCAAGGTCAAAGTTTAAATCCATGGCTTTTTTTTAAAAAAAAAAAAGTATGATTTTCCTGACTTTCACATACATAATTAAGTTGATATAGCACTTTTCAGGTCTGTGTGGTATTTAGAAATTTGGAAAAAATTTTTACAAGACCATCAGAAGCTTTGTAGCGGTCTGTGTACTTGATTCAAATAGCAATGGATTTATTTTAGAGGTATATGAAGCATACTAGCAAATTACCTAAAACTTTTGTTTTTTTACATCTACAAACTATTATCAGTGATAGTGGCAGCTGCTTTCATCTAGAAGCAAAAATATTTGCCTGATTGAAAAGATATCAGGCAAATTTGAATGTTTCCAGCTAGAATTATGTGTTACTGGCTGAAGTAAATAATTTTAAAATTGCTTTAGCATTGCCCAAACGCCATGTTACAGGCTGTGAGAATTATGAATAGGTGTGTTGAATAGATAACGTTGTGAAAAATGTGAGAATATTTATATTTAAATGCAAAAATCCATGCAAGAATCCAGCTGCTTGATAACTTACTAGGTGAATTTGTTATCAATACCGGTCCCTAAACCACTAATGAGAAATGTCTTTTAAGATTTAAAATTGTGTAAATGCTTTGTCCCTAAAACTGATGGGAGTAATTGGTAAACTGCTTAATCAAGTCCCACTTGGAAGTAAATGGGAACTGCAGGGTAGAAAGTGTAGGCTGGGTAAGTAACCCACCAAGTCAGCAGAGTTCTCTTTACAGAAAGAAACAAAGATAGCAGTAATTAATGACCCTGACTCTGTGCCAAAAAAGCTTTCTTCTGACAACTCCAACTTAATTAAAACTTAAGACATTTCAATGGCCTCCAAAGCCCCTGATGGGGTGAACTCTTGCAGACTCGTGAGAAAATTTTGTAAATTAAAGGAAAAGATGTGTGTTACCACTAGTGCCATGACTCTAATCCCTGACAGTCAAAGAATCTATTTAGCCCAAGCCTTTTCTTTTAACTGGCTCACACCTGCAGGCTTCCTGGCACTTCCTCTGCACCAGAGAAGGCGG